TGCAAGCCTCGGGGTGGGGAGGGGGGGTGCCGTGATTCGGACCCACTGCCGCAAGGGCACGTTGACCTCCCAGCAGCTCCTCCCTTCCCCAGGCTTGCATATTCGGACTCAAGCCACTTCCCAGATGGGCTGGTCTGGTTTTGATCCCCTGGTGCAAATATTTACGCCTGCACTGAATTTGTACCTTAGAATAACTGAGGTTCGTCCATCTGGCGGCTGCGGAAAGAAAGAACCAGCTGCCCTCTTCCAGAAAAGTGTGCGGAGCGAATACTGAGACTGTTGACAGACTGTGGGTTGGGGTTCAGAGGGAGCTGGGGAGGCCTGTGCTTTGGCACTCTCCTGTCTCCCCTTGTGGGCTTGAGGCCCCCGGGTGCCAGACTTGGGAGGCGATGGGCACAATCCAGCCAAAGACGCTTCGCCTGCTCTTAGCATGACTCGTGTGGCCTTTGCTGGGAGGCGGCTGTTCTTAACAACATGTGCTGAACTCAAGAGACTTGCGTGGAGCGTGAAATTCCTACACCTACGGACCATTACAGAAAAGAGCAGCCAAACAAAGCCAAGTGTTTTGAGGCACCTGGAAGACAAACATGCTTAAGCTGGCCTAAACGCTTCTTGGATGGTGGCCCACGTCCTCCGATGATGCAGCAAGCCATGTTTCCAGGAGAAGTCAGCTGGGGCGAAATCCCAGAGCAGCGAGAGCGGCCGTCCCTGTTGTGAGCCGGCTACTGCCCTGCTGGGAGAACTGAGCCTTTTCGGGTCCAGATGTCCAGAGATGCCTCCGGCAGCTCTGCAGGCTTAAGGATGCTCCTTAAGATCCTGCAGCACAGGCAGTGGGGAGGGATGGTGGGAATCCGAACCCATGACATTTGCAGGGCCAGAGTTTCTTCCCATGCCCTTTCCGGTGTGTTCGCTGCTTTTGGTTGAAGGGGGATCACCTTGGAAGGGTGGCAAACATCTTGGCCACTCCTAGCCCTAAATGCCGCTTGGGGTTATTGACTTCCAGAGGGTGGGTTCATCCACACTGCAGGCATTACCCACATCGGAGCAGGGGTGGCCATGCAGGAGTAAAGGGCCACAAAGGATATTTGGACTGTGCAGACAATGGGGTTGGGTAGGCCATAATAAGTTTATTATATACTTGTATTTATTGTATACGCAAAGAGACCTTTAAAATGTTTTCTAAGCCACTTGGAACATATAGGTAAGTGGCCTCTAAGTGTTTACAGATCACCAAACAAAGCAGTGGCCCTTGAATCAGGTTGCCCCAAAACTAGAATTTTGGCCGACAAGCGGTTCTGTTCCACATCCCGCAGAGAGAAAGACACTCAGAGAATCAGAATAGATCCTGTAACCATGCCGTGGTACATGTTTAGTTAGACTTAACGTTCCATAGAGTTCAAAATGACCGGAAGACGGCAGCCTTCGAAAAGAAGGAGATGCTGCCTGGCTTCACGGGGAGAGATCTTCCACAGTCCACCTCTAGGCTGGCCCACATTCTGGGCAGCGTCTTTGCTATTTTTGTCTCCTTGAGCTTTCTCTCAATTGGCCAGTGTAGAAAATAGGCTGCTGAGAGGATGGCCTGACCCAGATGCTGGGCTCGCTTGACCTTCTCTAGAGACCCCCACCCCCATGACACGTAAACTCACCCACTCTTTTTTTTTTTACACCTCCTTTTCACCTAAGACAGTTGATTTGCCTCTTATGTTGCAGCAGCTCTAGAGGCTTGCTTGCTTGCTTGCTTGCTTGCTTGCTTGCTTGCTTGCTTGCTTGCTTGCTTGCT